GAGAGAACCAAGTTCTCCTCCCAAAAACCAGCTTCATTTTCTCACTCCCACAAGTTGCCTTTTTATACAGCCTGATAGCCAATTTTAAGGCCTGGATCTCACGGCCATAACATCGGACTCCCAGTCGTGATCTCATCCAAAAGCGCATAGTGTTTGTTGTCGTTTTAGTCCAATGTCACAGTCAACTGGAAATTGTCAAGGTCTGGTGACCGTAACAATTGATCTGCCAGCGAGACTGGTAGACATTTAGTACTTTTCTATTTATGAGGATTTGATTGTTAAGAATTGTTTATGTGGGTTTGAATTGAGGATGGGTTAAGATTAATAAGTCAGGGTAGTGATAGGTAATTGTATTTTAGTACGTAAACTATGATGCTACGTAGAAATGGGTAAGCAAAGATTATAACCCTAAACCTACTTTGATCACTCTCTCTCAATTTCCCCTTGGCCGCCGAGCCTTCTCCCTCCTTTTCCCCTGCTGCCGCTCGGCAGTTCTTCTTCTCCCTCTCTTCCTTCGTGCAACCCCCAAATCCCCCTTTCTTTCATCACTCAGTTCCTAGGATCAACCCCTAGTTGATCCCCATAACCTAATCCCTAGATAGAGCTCTGATCTTGGAATTCTATCATTTGGTATCAGAGCCCGATTCCTGGGTTCGTGATCTAGCAAAGACGATCGAGATGGTGCTGACGAAGTCCATGGCCGCTGCTAAGAATGCTGCTATGGCCAAACAAACCGTGGAGGCTGCCGCGGGACTGTCGGAGGGTACCAAGGAGACGGCGGCGAAGGCGCCACCCCCACCGAAGGCTGCACAGGGGCGGCCACCACTTTCGTCACCGAGGGTGCAGGTGGACGGCGAGCTGGAGGACCTGACTGAGCAGGAGACGGCGTCGGTCAGTCTCGGCGATCTCGTGACTATGATCGCGGAGGAGCGCCAGGCAAGGTTGGAGGAGACTAGGCGGATGGAGCGCAGGCTCGATGACTTTCAGGCCATGCTGGTGGCGATGCACGGCGAGAGGCGGCCCGGACCACGTGGCGCGAATGGCGAGGAGGGGGCGCGCCAGGAGGAAACCGCGCCGGCGGAGCCAGGCGCGACGACATTGACGGCGCCTGGCATGGCGGCGATGGCGGCGGGCGGCAGGGCACGGCGCGGCGGGCGGCGCGGGTCCGAGCGCGGCGGTGGGGGCGGCCTCGGTCGTGGAGCTGGCGCCGCTGCTGCCGGAAGGCATGGAGGACCCAACGGCCAATCGGGAACGGCCGGCCCATGGGCCACTAGGTCGGGGTGGCGGGACTGGGCTTTTACCTACGTCGACGGAGATGACCCAAGAAATGGCGGCCCGCAAGGGAAAGGCCAAGGTGACGGGCTACGGCAGTGGGCCATATGGCTCGATGAGTCGGTCCGATCCAGTGGGGCAGCTTAATGAACCGTAGGGGCTGGGCTGGCTCAGCATGGATCAGGAGCAGCTCGAGGAGGAGCTCAGATTGGCGGACCAGGATGCATTATGTGCCGATCTGGCCCTAGAGGGAGTTTACATGGGCCAGAACCAAAATTCGGGCCGAGCTACACGCGTCGGGCCACGCCAAGAGGAGCAGGCCTGGTTTGGCGGAGCTGGGCTGAGGGAGCGGCCTGGCGGGGCGTGCCCAGCAGGGATCGACCGAACCGCATGGGACCGGATCGGGGCGAGCTGTCGGTTGGGTCGGTTCGGTTAGGGGCGAACTGGGTCGAGGCGGACCGTTTTGGGTCACACCGGGATGGACCGATGCGGGTCGGATCGGGTCTGGTTGGGCTGGCTGGGGGTAAAACCGGTTCGATCCGCCACACGGGGGAGCAGGTAATGTGGGCCTAAACTGCTGGCAAGGGCCGTATGGGCCTGGAGGAGCGACTGGGCCACCAGTTCGAGGGGACTCAAGCAGTTTTGGACATGGAAGGGGCTCCCAGTTTTATCAGAATCACCCAGGCGGGGACCCTGGCTATGACAGGTATGGTTCGTACCTTATAAAGCACCAGGGGGTGCTTTTGATCAGAATACGCATCTCACACACACAATCGAACGATAGATGATGGATAGGTAGAATTCTCGCCACAATCGAGGTGATTAATCGATTGATAAGAGAACTTGCTAAACGATTCTGGAATCCACTCAGAATAGCTTCACAAGGGTCTTGTAATTAGCTAAGGAATCCACTCGTAGCTAATGACAATGGGTAAACTCTCGAGACGCAACTCAAGAACTCAAACACTCGGTTTGTATTCAATTCAATCAACTCTATCCTTTACAACGTGAGAATGAAAGCTATTTAAAGACAATAAAATCCTAATACAAACCTAATAGAGCTATGAAACAATTATGGTAAAAACAAACTCTAAAAAGGACTCAAAATTCGGCCATAAACTTCCTTTTTTGGCGCACAAGTAAGCTGCCCGCAAAACAGTCAAAATGCAGCTTTCGTACTAACTTCGCGCCTTTTGTTCGAGGCCTTCCCGAACTCCAATCCTTCATCCAATTCCTTCCCTTTGTACATTAACATACCTAGTTTCATGTTGTGGAAGCCTTTTGACTTGAATCAGATCCATACTCCTCGAATTAAGCTCCAAAGTAGGCTTCACAACACAGTTTTCTGCCTTAGTCATTTTCTGGCAGTTTTCTAGTTTTGAGGTAGCAACTTTGAGCCCTTGGAAAACAACCTTAATGACATCATCTGGATCCACAAAGCATACCATTGGAAACATGACAACTTTCTCTATAAAACAAGCCCTTAAACTAGAATTTCCAACAAGCCAATTAAGAGAACCATGCCTCCAAAGTATGTACCCTGAACACGGATTTTTACTTAGCCAAATTCTACCTTTCTTCTTCCCAACTTTGTTAGCTTCTTCGTCAAATAAATTAAACGTGTATAATGGACCATTTGGGATCATATCAGTACCACCCTGCTTATGATGGAGCTGATGGAATGGTCTTCCGAGCCAAACCCCCTACCATTGAATTTCCAAAATTCAATGGCCAGGAGGATGCCGAGCTATGGTTGTATGCAGCTGAACGGTGGTTTCGAAACCACCCTATACCGGAAGAGCGAAAGGCGCATCTGGCGTCTTTCTATTTGGAAGGGAAGGCATTGCAGTGGTGGGAATGGATGGAGAGGTCCTACACGGCGGCAGAGACCTTGATCACATGACCGATGTTCCAGGAGGAGCTCCGCTACCAGTTCGGTAAGGCGGTGGGATGGGCCCTAGAGCAGCTAGTCAAGCTGAAGCAGACGGGATCAGTGGCGGATTACCGCGCAGAGTTCTTCAAGCTGGGCAATCAATGTCGCGGAGTGCCCGAGGATACATTGATAGGTCTGTGTATGGCAGGCCTAAAGCCGGAGATCGCTGATGCAGTCCGGGTCTTTGAACCGGATTCCTTGAAGTCTGCCTTTCGACTTGCAGGTTACAAGGAAGAAGAGCTCGCTAGTTGGAGGAACACTGTAGGTCGCTACCAGCGGCCGAGCAGGTCCTGTAGTAGCAGTGGAGCGGGAGGAGTTGGAGCCGGGACAGGCGCGGGCGCTGGAGGTCCCGCCGTCAGGCCTACGGGAACGGCGGCAGTCAGGGGAGGGGTGCAGCCACCGCCCAAGGGATTTGTACGTCTTTCCCCGATCGAGATTGAACAGAAGAGGCGTGAAGGCAAATGCTTCAATTGCGACGAACGCTTCACCATAGGGCACAAGTGTGCTCGACCAGATTTGATGATGCTCGTCGGAAGGTGGGAGGACGAGGCGGAAGAGGAGGCAGGTGCGGCGGACGACAAGGTGGAAGACTAGCAACCTTGGGGACAAGGTTTTTTTGAAGGGAAGGGAATGATAGACATTTAGTACTTTTCTGTTTATGAGGATTTGATTGTTAAGAATTATTTATGTGGGTTTGAATTGGGGATGGGTTAAGATTAATAAGTCAGGGTAGTGATAGGTAATTGTGTTTTAGTACTTAAACTATGATGCTACGTTGAAATGGGTAAGGAGAGATTATAACCCTAAACCTACTTTGATCACTCTCTCTCTCTCTTTCCCCTTGGCCGCCGAGCCTTCTCCCTCCTTTTCCCCTGCTGACGCTCGGCAGTTCTTCTTCTCCCTCTCTTCCTTCGTGCAACCCCCAAATCCCCCTTTCTTTCATCACTCAATTCCTAGGATCAACCCCTAGTTGATCCCCATAACCTAATCCCTAGATAGAGCTCTGATCTCGGAGTTCTATCATAGACGTGCAAACTCTTCTGGTTTTGGCAATTTTCACACCCCGGGCTCAATTGTCATGGCCCAGAGGTCGTGACAATTACGCCCAAACCATGAAATTGGCCTTTTCTTCACTTTTTGGTGCTTTTCGGCTTCCAATCGTCCCACAACTCGTCCTCCACTTTCCCAATATATACTAGGGCCTAAAATATAACAAAAAGAAGCACAACCTAGCGTAAAATAGGTCAGGGGCGATAATTACCAAGTCAAACGGTCAAAAAATGAAGGGTAAAATATATATAATAACAAATCTCACTAATACAACCTCACTTCTCACTCATTCTTCATTTCTAAGGATATTTTCTTTCATTAAACAACTTCCCTTTCATCTAATATAGGAACTAGCATTGGGCCCGGCCCGTTGGCCGGGTAATGCACAAAATTCTCCAGCAATACGACTAAAGCAATTTGAAATCTTAATCCACCCATTTCATCAATAAGCAGTGTTCATTACTCATATGATTTATCTCTAATTTTCTATTATGAATTATGTTGTAAGGCATGAAGGTAACATAGCAAAAGAATAGATAAATCCATGAAATAAAAGCTAACACATAACTTGAAACAACCTGGGAAGCAATATGCCTAAAAGTTGCCGCATCATAGTTACAGGAAATTGAAATTGATACTGTCAAACCTTATACACATACTGGTTACTGCCAAGAAAAAAAAAGAAATTGTAACTTGGACTTGTGACAAACACATGGAAAATAAATTGGTGATAATATCAACCAAACAGCTCCATACCATTTCAACATCAAATTCCTATTGTCATTGGATAACAATAAACCAAACTATGTACAATTTAAAGCTTCAAACTTGGTAAATATCGAAGAATCCAGAATCAACCCATAAATGAGCAACATAATACTAAATATAAGGTTCAGAATATGGCCTTAACAAAATAAAGCTTCTGCCAATACTAATTGTCTTCCTTAGAGTCACAATCAACCTCATTTTTCCTTTCCAATCTACTTGAGACTGTCCCTCCAAGTTTCTCAGCACTTGAATTAGTGTTGCTGATCTCCTTCAAAATAGGAGCTTCCTCTATGAGGGATTTACTTGAGGCGTCAGTCACTTGCTAGAATAAAATTAGAGAAAAATAGAGTATCAAAACATGAAAATAATTTGCTCTATTTACCTAAATGAACTTAAGGACAACTGAAGTATTCTTCACTTACCCCAAGAGGATCATGATCCACTCTTACCACATAATATTCGGCTTGAGGATTCATGAAGTTGAATTCAGTAAGCTTAACATGTAATTTAAGTGTCATATTAATGACTTGCATGATCTGTTGAGGTATATGTTCTTTCTTTCTCTGGTTTTCTTGGAATAAGACATCAGCCATTACTCCAAAAAGACGCAAGCCATTATGCTCCAAAATGGCAAAATCAGCTTCACCACGATCATCTTAGAAATGGAGCTGCACTCTATACCTACAGTGAAGAAGAAAACAAACAGAACAAAACTCATGAGTTTGTATCCCTCTTCCACAACGTGAAGTAAAATTGCTTCTCTTGCAACATGGCAAGCCAAAAAACATATAGCCAAAGAGCAATCAAGTGGTATTACTATCCTCAAACTTTTAAACAAAACCATAGCGACATGTTGTCCATTCACATTACGTGATTCATCCGTACCCTTGTCATGGTTCCTACCATCATCAACTTCTCTTGCAGAACATCAGATGGATAAGCTATATACACAACCCTTTCCATGGAAATTCAAGATAATGCAAGCGACACGCAAAACATTCAATTTGCCACAATCAATAGACTCATAATTTCCCCCAAAAAAAAATCTCAAGCACTTTGATTTTCTCAGCGCTCACACAAAGAGCTGCTACAACATATTGAAAGCATCATCGTATATGGTATTTACCTAGATGGATTTTGGGTTTTGTAAATGTGTTATTAGCCCATGCATCACACACAATTCAAGTTGCTTCTGCTAACAAATGCAGTATCATATATGGTTTCTTACCTAGCTGGCCGCCCACATAGTGGATATAAGTTAAAACATCATGTCAATAAATCTATGTAAAGATCTGTTTAAATGTTTAATATGTAAAACCAATCTTATAAACTATTCTACTTGAAAGATAGAACAACTGCAACTTGAACACATGTGAAGTGAGCTTTCAACTTGATGATAATAAGAACCTTCACAGTTCAGAACTGAACTGCAACTTCAATTCAAAGACATACAATATTCAATTTCACTTACCACCCTCAAGACGCACCCTCTTCTTATCGGCTTTAGCCCGTGTCGGACCCAGAGGAGACACCAATTGCTCTTCATTTCGCTAACAAAGACACAATGGAACGTACAAATTAAATAAGTTTCTATTTTCGTGCATATATGGCATTCAACCTCAGAACAATATAATGCTAAGAACAAAATGAGTATACTACAGCGAGTAGAAGCAAAGTTATAGCTGAATGGAGGATTGTTAGGGCCAAAAGAAGTGTCACCGCGATGATATTTGGCCTTCATTGCTGCAATCGTTGCACAACCAAGGGAAAACAATCGAGCAATTGGGCCATGATCCCCTAAGATATTGTCGGACAGATTTAAACTGGGAATTGATGCAGTATGGAATCGCGAGGACTGAAGAACATGATTCAAACTAATTAGTTAGCAATTGCGTAGATTGTCCACTGGAGTTTTCCAAGAGAGAGTTCTGATGTACTGGTTTTTTCAAGGGTTCTGTTCTGTTGGATGGTTGCTGTCAAACTGTGTTGTGTTCTCTGTTCTTGCGTTTGCTTTTCATGGTTTGATCGTAACCGGGTTCCCTTTTCCTTCCCCCTGTTGAACCAAAATGTTGGTTGTTGTCTCTTTGTAACTGATCAGTTAAAATGCAATAAAGACTCTCATTTGTAAAAAAAAAAAAAAAGGAAAAGTAGAAGGGACATCGCACATACAGGCTCTGAAAGCCAGAATATAAAACTACCTAACTAAGGGGACCTTACATAGAAGAAAACACAAATGACGCAGCAGCGAAGTTGTTTGGCCAATCGACTGCAATGCAATACGAACTGCGGGAGCGAGTCAGAGGCAAAGGGATTTTCTCTCGGAGGGGGTGGGAGAGAGACGGTGATATAGACAGATTGCGCAGCAAAACAGACGGCGAGAGTGAGAGGAGTCGGGATTTTTTTCGGGGGCCTTGCAAGACAGAGCAGATGGCAACAAACACGACGATGATCGGGGAAGTACAGAGAGAGCGACGATGAGCGATTTGGATTGAGTGTGCCAAAAAAGGTCAGAGTTATGGTGAGCTGTGATGAGCAGAGATTCCAATCTAAGGTTGATTGTGACAAAAATGAGATTTTGATTTCAGATTGAAGTTTGGAAGAGACGACGAGTTGTTCGCTTTTCGGTAGTAGGATGAATGGGCTTTTCCTCAAGGTATGGCGACAAAACACAAAGACAGAACAGAGGGCTTCTATTACGTTAGGGATTGCAAGAATGAATATATTGGCTATTCTTCGGTAGCTTTGGGCTAGAGGAACGTCTTCGATTCCGGCAAGGATTGGAAGAATCAGGGACGATTTCAAAAGCTATCGCCTAGATAAAAGAATTCGATTTCCGGTGAGAGAATGGAAATCGGAATGTGGAAACTGGAAAGAGAAGAATTGTTGAATTGACGTGAAAGTCCCTCCGCAGTGTGTGGTGCTTGCAGGAGGAGCTGACGTGGCAAAAACTCTATGTTGACATTGCTTTATAGTGTTTTGTAGATCACACATTCTGATGTGCCCGCACCTGTTTATTCTCAATCCTTGCCTGATTGGGAATATCTGGTTGAACCCTCCTCCATCGTACATATTATACATAACAGAGATTCTCATACTACTGCACCTATGAATTTATTAGCTAGTGCTATTGTGCTAACACCACATAGAAAATGCCAATTAATATCCCACCCACTCAATACAAATATGGCCACACCAGTTGTTTTAAGGTGGGTTGCTAGTTGGTACACTTTTATGCGGTGATTTATTTTCAAATATAATTTACCGCAAGGGTTTTCCAACATCAAGATAAGAGATCATGATGCAATCAATATGCAACAAGAAAAATAAATATGATACCAAAAGAAAAGTATCTGATTACAAATTGGACGATTTGCCACGATGTAATTAATATCCAAAATAAAAACAAATACAGTAACAAAAAAAAAGTCTCCGATTACAAATTGGACGAGCTGCCAGCAATGTCAATAACAAATCGGTACTTCACATCATTTTTCGCCAAACGGTTGAAAGCTTCATTGATGTTGTCTGGTTTCACAACTTCAATGTCACAACTTATTTTGTATTTTCCACACAAGTCCATCATTTCTTGTGTTTCCTTCATTCCTCCTATTATCCCACCTTTAATGGTTCTTTTCCCTGCGTTAGTGTTTACATTGCACAAATTTTGTTAGCTCCAAGTTCACTGATTTATTTATGGGTCATAGAAAAACTAAGGTAAAGTTTTTGGGTGTAGTATGCTACCGAATAACAGAGGAAAAGCCGGTAGTTCAAGGGGCTTGCCCGGGGCTCCAACGATCACCATTGTCCCATTGACTTTGAGTAATTCCAAGATCGGCCCAAGCCCGTGGTCAGCTGACACCGTATCGAGTATAAAATCAAGGGTACGCTTTCCCGCCTATCACCGATTATCAGAGATAAATAAAGCTTCATTTTATATGTAATAATATTATTAAAAAGCAAATAGATCGATTCGAATTAGATTAGTAGTTTGGAGTTATTAGATATCAAGGATAAGAAGATAAAATTAGGATAGTAAAGCGTTCAAATAAATGCATACCTCCATTTGTTTGGGATTGGAGCTGACGATGAAGCCATCAGCACCTAATCGCTCTCTGGCCTCCTTCTCTTTAGAAGGAGAGGTGCTAATGACAGTAACATGGTGGCCGAATGCCTTCCCAAACTTGACAGCCACGTGACCAAGGCCACCCAATCCAACAACACCTATCTTCTTTCTTGGAGATTCAATCAAATTATGGTCTTTTAAAGGCGTAAAGACAGTGATTCCCGCACACAACAATGGTGCTGCCGCGTCCATTGGAAGGCTCTCTGGCACATGCACCACATACCTTTTTTTTGTCGAAACGATAACAACAATGTATCAATAATAGTTCGAGAAAAAATAGGATTACATGTTCAAATCATCACTTTTTTTTTCCGACAATGATATATGATTCAGTCGTATTACAAATTATAATATCAAATTTATTGAGTGCCAGGTAGATGAAATTAGGCCATTTTGTTTGAAGAAATTCAAAGTTAAGGAACTATAAGTTTCACATGGGAAAAGGGTATTTAAGTTGTTGTGGTCTCGTGGATGCTTAGTTGGAAGATTTGGCAATATCTCCTTTGTATTAGTATATTAACCCATGTGGCTTGTACTTGCTTAAAAAAAAAAATGGAACAAGGCCCTAAAGATTCTATTTAACAACTAGCAAGTTGGACTTCATGTTTACTTTATGGGTTTATCGAAATATATATATATATATATTCTATTTTCTTAATCCTAGGTCGTGAATTCCATTTTTCTATTCTAATTTAGCTAACAACTATGAGTTTTTCGATATTTGGTAGGTACACACACTGGCTGGAAGTAAGTACAAGGCCAACCGAGGGATTCACATATGGGTAAAAAAAAATTAACAGTTTTACCTGTAGTCAGCGACGATCATTTTGGAGTAACCGCCATAAGTAATGCTCCCGTCCCAGAAAACACCATTGTAAGTGAACTGAAGCTGGTCACAATAATTTTCTTGAGAGCTCTTGCAAAACTCACAGTCCAAGCACGAAGCAGCCAGGCACCCGATTCCAGCTCGATCTCCAACCTTGAAATTCTCCACTTTTTTACCCACCTTGGTAATTATTCCCGTAATCTCATGCCTAGATAAATTATCACCAGAAAATTTTTGAGTCCATGCATGTGCTCAATAAATCAACAAAAGACTCTGAATCAAGGAAATTGAACTACAACTATAGTCCGTCCCATTTAAATTTTAAACTCGTCCAAATATGATAGGAAATCAAACTTGACCCGCAAGTTAACTTGACATGATTCTCGTAAATAACCATAATCGTAATAATCTAACTCATATTCACTCGTATATAGTTCATGATATACATACCCGGGAACAATAGGGTACGTTGTGATCCCCCAATCATTCTTCGCCTGGTGAAGATCAGTATGACAGATTCCGCAGTACAATATCTCTATCGTTACATCTGTATCGCGGTTCTCCCTGTAATCATTAATCAGATTAGCTTAAACCTTCGTATGAAAAGCTAATCAAAAGTGGCTAAGCAAACTATTGATTAATTAAAATAAAAGGGAGAGCAGAATAAGGGGGGAACTGACCGGCGTTTGAAAGTGTAAGGAGTTATCTCGCCGGAGGTGTCGTGAGCTGCCCAGCCGGCGACCGTCTGGGTGTGATTCGGCGTCGTCTGAGCCATTGATAATCAGATTGAGAGTATATCGAGGGAGAGGGAAAATTGGAAATCTGATATTGGTGCTAACTGGGGATGGAGTTGAAGGGTTGGGACTTGGGAGCTGTAGGAGTCGCGTTTTTATATTGTTGGCTTTGGAAACTTCCCTGGGTCAACGGTACCTAAATTTTCTGGTCATTAACAAATTGGTCACTTTTTTTTTACAATAACAAATTGGTCAGTATACTTTGATTTTCGACCAACTTTGTAATGAGGTTCGAAATGACTTGCAAAAAAAGATCGATTCATTTGTCGGTTACTATCATGGTCAGTTCATCGGAATGAGGTATTTAGTATTCCAAAAGTGTTGATCAACTCTCTAACCAACAATTGTGTACAATAAATTGTGTACGCATATCAATATCATACAAGTGTTATATTACCATTAATTTTTTTATAAGAATTATATATGTTAGCTTATGTATACTTAAGTGATTCAAACTTTGGAGTTTCAGGTTTAAAAATAGTGGTTTTACCACTAGACCAAGCCATTATTTTTTTTATCACAATCATTAATTAAGATTTATAAAATGATATTCATCTTGTTATGTTTCCCTAAACATAAAATCTCATACCAATATCATATCAACATCATACCACCGTCAATAGTAATATCGTGATATGACAGTGGTATGATCACTTGAAATTTTTTAGCTCCACAAAATATCAAAATTGATATGATCTTGTAGAGCACCAAAAATATGATATTTCTATGCAGAAAAAATTAAAATCCGATTTGAAATAAATGAGCTATGCCCATTGAATTTTCGTAGGATATTTAAAAAAGTCTTTGGACAGGCGCCTGGAAACTCGCATTAGCACACAAAAAATCCGGTCAGCTGCCCAGAAAAATCCAGTCAGCTTCCGCTAAATCTCTTATTTCCCTTCTTACCCCCTCTATATTATGGACCATTAAATCTTTCCTTTTCAAATTACAATCACTAGATTAGATTTCTTGGGACTACAAAACTCCATAATTTTGTACCCTAGCGGCTTAGCCTGCTCCGTATTTTATACGCTTCTAATACAAAACTCTTGCCTGCGAAACCATGCAAAATCCCGATCGTATCATCGTGTCACGACCAGTGGTGTAGCCAGGATTTCGTTTAAGGTGGGTCCACCTAGAAAAAATATACATTATGAATTAGTTTTTGTTAATATACTCTTAAATTGAAATTTTTTGGTAAATTAAAATGCATTAGTAGTAAAAAATATAAGAATATCATTCTGCGTACCAAACAATTATTGGTTTAGTTAGTCGTACACTCGTACTGTTTCAAATGGTGTTCTTTGTCAAGAACCGTTAGTATCAATAAATCGAGTTGGTGATAGAGGTTTAATAATAAATCCTACACCAATCAATAATTCATGATTTAGCTTTCGAATAATGTTCTTTGTAAAAAAATATTTAGTATCAACAAATCGAGTTATGGGAAGAGATTCAATAATATATATGATACCTCATACCATTTACTAGCATGCTCATTCATAAGAAAATCAACTTATACGAAATTGAAGTTTGCACAAATATGTATACCGTATTAGATTCAAACACAAAACTACTATTATCAATTAAATGTGACCTAATTTTCGGTATCAATTAATTATCGTACCTAATTTAACCATTTTCCTCCCGAACCAGGGTGGGTCCCGGGACCCACCCTATTACCCTCTCCCTTCGCCACTGGTCACGACATGATGATACGATGATACAATGTTATAGGGTAAATGACACATTTGGTCACCGAGATTACTAAATCGTGTCATATTTAGTCACTAGAAAAATTTAATATCAATTTTGGTCACTCGAATTACTGAAACAGGTCACATTTGGTCACTTTTCTGTAGCCTCTGTCCAACTCCGGTCACTCGAATTATTGAAAAATGTCACATTTAGTCACTCGGATTACTGAAACATGTCACATTTAGTCACTCTCCCAAAAGTTTCCGTCCAACTACATTAATGGAGTTGGACGGAAACTGACGGGAGAGTGACTAAATTTGACCAGTTTCGGTAATTCGAGTGACCAAAATTGATATTAATTTTTTCTAGTGACTAAACATGACATAATTTAATAATTTCAGTGACCAAATGTGTCATTTACCCCAATGTTATATCATCTTATCATCTTGTCGGTTACTAATCCAAACGTGTCCATAAACTCTCTAATCAACAATTGTGTACAAGAAGGAAGAAACGATGGTGGTTTGACGTAATGTAGGTGGAATGAAGTAAAATGAAAATGAGTCTCTTTATATACTAATTAGAATCTACCTAACCTTTTTACTATTAGTTTGGAATCTTTTATTATTAATTTGTGATTTAGCTAATATTTTTCGCCTAAGCGACCGAGTGAAATAACAAAGTGTTGGAAATGTGTATGAATAGCTTTGAAAGCTATAGAGTCTCAAGTGGAAAAACTACCACATTGGTAGTTTTACTTGGTGAAATGAGTATAAAGATAGGAGCCTCTCTCCTAAGGGCATATGCCCCTTGGGGTGACCCACTTTTGTGGGAGAGGGAGGACCTAACGGACCACCACACACGCGCGCGCGCGCCGACCGACCGGTCGGTTGGTTGGATGGATCACTTGAGACTATATACATATTTTTTGGAGAAATTCCGAACGAAATTAATTATTTAATAATTAATTATTAATCGGTTATTCTGAGGAATATTCTAAGGGATAATCGATTGAAAAGGAATATTCGAAGGATAATCCCAGCAGGATTTATCCTAACCGACGGTTTTAATTAAGGAAGTAATTATCTTCCTTAATTAATCTGACTTATTCCCCAAGCTAGATGGTATATTCCTAGGGGTTCGGCTCCTATAAATAGCCGCCTCCCCAGCCCCTCTAAACACATCACAACGAGCATAAACACAAAAGAGAGAGTGTTCAGAGAACTCAGGTTTTCGCACAAAACCGCGAGTAGTCAGAGGAGCTGTTTTATCCTGGAGACGACCGGTTGATAGTCTGCCGTGCGCATCGAGGGCAGTGCCGCGAACGTCTTAAAGAAAGCGACCTAGTCCGGGACTCAGCTCCAGATTCGGTATCCTCATCTTGTTGTTGTTCCGTTTCTAACAGTTTTAAGACGTTCGGCTGCTGTTATGTCGACTGAACAGAACAACATGGCCGGATCTGGTGCTGTCGATATCAATCGACCGTTTCGCTTCGTTGGAGTCAACTTCCGTCGCTGGAGACAAAAGATGGAGTTCTACCTGACGACCAAGAAGTTGGCACACTGCCTCACCAGCATGCCCGTCGAGCTGCCGGAAGAAGCGACCGATGAGGAGAGGACTGCTGCTGCTAAGGAAAGGGAGCATGACTTCCTATGCAAGGGCTACATCCTCAACGGCCTGGCAGACGACCTCTACGACTACTATGCGGATAGCAAGAACACCGCAATGATGGTCTGGGATGCGCTCCAAAAGAAGTACGACACGGAGGAGGCTGGAGCTAAGAAGTATGCTGTCAGCCGCTACCTGCGCTATCAGATGGTGGATGACAAGTCTGTCGAAGTTCAGTCCCACGAACTTCAGAAAATAGCTCACGAGATCGTCTCTGAAGGTATGCCTCTGGACGATCAATTTCAAGTTGCTTGCATTATTGATAAGCTGCCCCCTTCGTGGAAAGATTTTAAGAATATGCTTAGACATAAAACCAAAGAATTTTCACTGGAAAGTTTGATTACTCGCCTAAGGATTGAGGAAGAGTCCCGCAAGCAGGATATGAAAGAAGAGGTGATGGTCGTCACTGCTAAACGACCCACCCCTAGAGCTCTTAAACCTAACCAGAAAGGGTTTAAGGGTAAGAACCAGCAGGTCCGCCCCCACCAGAATGGTGCCTCTCGAGGTAACCAAAGGGTCATGGCCCAAACCTCTAAGAATGACCCACCATTTATCTGCTTTAACTGCGGAAAACCGGGTCATATGGCAAAAAAGTGCAGGAACAAGCATAACCCCGCCGCTGCGGCCAGGGTTAACTTGACAGAAGAGGATTTGGTAGCCATGATCACAGATATGATCGCTGAAGTTAACCTCACCGGTGACTCAGAAGGATGGTGGCTGGATACAGGTGCATCGAAGCATGTATGCAACAATCGTGCTATGTTTAAAACATACGAAGAAGCACCTGCTGACAAGAAAGTGTTGTTGGGGACTACTCACACCACTATGGTTGCTGGTTCTGGTGAAGTGGAGCTGAACTTCACCTCTGGGAAGAAGATGGTGCTCAAGGATGTGTTGCACACTCCAGAGATAAGGAAGAATCTTGTGTCGGGATATCTTCTTAATAAGGCTGGGTTTAATCAATCTATTGGGGCAGACTTGTATACCCTTACTAAGAATGGGAGTTTTGTGGGAAAGGGATATGCATGTAATGGGATGTTCAAGTTGAATGTCGAAATTAATAAGATGAATTCTTCAGTTTACATGGTGTGTGATTTGAATGTTTGGCATGCTCGTCTTTGTGATGTGAACACACGAATTGTGAAGAATTTAAGCAAGCTAGGACATATCCCTAAACTCTCAATGAATGAATTTGATAAATGTGATTTCTGTAGCCAAGCTAAAATAACGAAAACGCCCCATAAATCTGTGAGTAGAGAATCAGAACCCTTAGATCTGATTCATTCTGATATTTGTGAACTAGATGGGACGTTAACTAGGTCTGGCAAGAGATACTTTATCACTTTCATAGATGATTGCTCTGATTATTGCTTTGTTTATTTGATGAAAAACAAAAGTGAAGCCCTTGACATGTTCAAGGTATTTGTGGTTGAATTCGAAAATCAGTGCAATCGAAAGATAAAAAGACTTAGGAGCGATAGAGGATCAGAGTATGACTCTAATCCCTTCAAGGAATTCTATAGCTCACATGGTATCATTCATGAAACCACGGCACCATATTCACCAGAAATGAATGGTAAAGCTGAGCGGAAAAATAGGACATTTACAGAATTAGTTGTGGCTATTATGCTCAATTCTGGAGCTGCTTCTTCTTGGTGGGGTGATATT